GCAAACCAAGCCTCTTTTTAAGTGGATCTCATTTTGCAAAATGAGTTATCCATGACACATGGCAGGTACATTCTTATCATTGGTTCAGGCATGGTCTTTTTGGATTTAATAATTGCATGAAGTCATTTCTTCTTTTAAAATAATAAATCATAATCATCTGTAACAAAAAGGCCAAACTAAGAATAAAACCTTAATCTGACTCACCCTGTTCTACATACTCCTTGGGTAACAGTCAAGATCTTCATCCTTCAGGTAATTATTAAAACCGCCAAGTGACGTCCATTCTGTGGGGGTACAAAGCAGATACAGAGAATAATGAAATACCCTCATCATTGCTTCATACTCGGCACTTAGTTATTTAGCTAACCACGTATTTGTTTAATTTTAACTTTTTTGGTCTTAATGAATCAAACATCCAGGAACCCAGAGCAAACTAAGAACAGAACATTGACATTAAATGTCTCTATCTAAATGCTTCTTACGCAAGTGGTGGTAAATTTAATCTGTTTTCTTTTTCCTGACAAACCAAGGTATTTCAGAACTGAATTAATTACATTCCTTGCTTTCCAACATACCCTCAGAATCTGTCCATGTCTTAACCTCTTTTTCTTTACTCATGAATATACTGGTTTGTTGATCCATTCACTTATCCGCTAATCCTATAAAATTAGTATCTGTGAACCCTCTCAAGCTCCAGTACTACGTTCTCAAATTTCCCTGACATTATTCCCACAAAGGTTTACACACCAGTTCTTTCTTTTGCAATGGACCTCAGTTGTTCACAAAATGATTGATCATAATTTTCATTCAGATGCATTCCATTCACATCACTGGTCCAGACATGGCCCTTCTACCTTTAATTTGAACAACTTTCAGACATCACAATGAACAAGAAAGAACCACCATCTTACTCAGCAACTAGAATACTGACTCCATAAATGAGTAACAGCCTTTATAAAGAGGAGAACCTTTAATAATCAATGAGACAAACATACAATGTGACATTTAACTATTGAAAATGAATGGAAAAACTAAGTTTTCTTTTTTCTCAAACTGCATTTGTTCTAAATTGGATTAATTTCGCTTCATAACACAGCCTCATCATAGGCCTATGCATGGCCTTTTAAAATTTAATTATCTTTTTAAATGACAGTTGAAATCGTGAACTAACAATCCAAGCCAAGAACTTTATTACTTACATTGCAAGACATTCTCCTTACTCAGAGGGCTGAAGTTCCTCATCACAGGGAATAATTAAATCAGCTCTGGTCTATCCATCCTGTAGATGATATTACCAAAGGAAAAAGGATATTACCAAATGAAAAGACCTAGATTTAGGTTTCAATTTCGTGAACAGGAAGTAACCGTCATAGAAATTGATCACAAACAATGATTTATTCCACATTCTTATCTCCAGCTCTTGAATGGAGCTCCGTCTTATTAATTAATGTATTATTCATTTTAATAACATTAGGAATACCCTTAAATGAACCACCCAACATAAAAACTATGAGAGTTACACACATCTGACTCCATATTCCATACCCAAAGAGCTAAAAACGTAGAGTTCCTCTTTTAAAAAGGGCCTGTGTTGTGCAAAACTGTAGCCACCATGAACATTGATTTATAATACAATCTTATCATTGGTCCTTACATAGCCTTCATTGATTATATTTGGTATTTTTTTATCATACACTACAGACCACCCTGACAGTGACAAGAACGTGCATCATTACTCACACTGAACCATCTCCATCATTACAGAATCGTTGTTGGCTTGAGTGTGTTCATTCTATGGAGTTGAAAGCAGATGGCAAAAGAAAGGAAAAATAAATATGCATTATTTTATACCTTTAAAAATTTATACACAAAATATGCAGGAGTATCTCTCACCAAAAAATGAGTGAAATATCATAAGTTCTCTCAATTGATCCTATGTTTCCCTCCTTGATTTGCTTAGCTATTTATAATTAGGTATTGATAATTTGTGAAATTATTTATTTGTTTCTCTTAACAAAGTAGACAAACTCGAACTCACCAGTCTCCCAAGGCAAAAACATTGACTATTACCATTCTTTGTCTAGATGATCCTCAAGCAAAGAAGAAACATTCCTGATTTATTAATTTAATTCATAAAACTCAGTGTTTGGGGATATTAAAAATATAAAATTCCACAGATGTTCTTATTGGACTCATTCTAATTATTCATGTGTAACATATTCTCATCCCTGATCTTCTTTAATTTTGTGTATAGATGTAGTCATTTATTCATTCTTTTATAATACAGTGAATGCCTATGACTAAACACCCCACCCCACCCAAGGACAAGAACATTGTACATTGCTTGTATAGGGTGTAGCCTTCTTTCCCAGAGACGTACCAGCCACGGTCTTTACCAACGACAATCATTTCCAGCGGGTAGAAAGCAAATGGTGAAAAGAACGGAACATCCTAAATTTTGACTGTGCTCTAATACTCTAATGAATGCAAGGTGAGCAAGTTTAGATTAATTTTTTTAAATTGGGTCATGTTCTTTTTACAATTGGCAAAAAAAAGTCCCTCTTTTTTGTCACACTAATTTAATTATTAATTTTGCATTTAAAATGGATGTCTTTTCAATTGCAACAAAAGCAAAAATTGGCCTATGGAATCTAATTAAAGAGTTTCTGTATAGCAAAAGAAACTATCATCAGAGTGAACAGACAACCTATAGAATGGGAGAAAAATTTTGCTATCTATTTATCTGACAAAGGTCTAATATCCAGAATCTACAAGGAACTTAAGCAAATTTACAAGAAGAAAACAAACAACCCCATTAAAAAGTGGGCAAAGGACCTGATCAGATACTTCTCAAGACATACATGCAGCCAACAAACAAGAAAAAAAGCTCAACACCATTGATGATCAGAGAAATGCAAATCAAAACCACAGTGAGATACCATTTCATACCAGTCAGAACAGTGATTATTAAAAAGTCAAGAAAAAACAGATGCCGAAAAGGTTGTACAGAAATAAGGACATTTTTACACTGTTGGTGGAAATGTTAATAAATTAGTTCAACCACTGTGGAAGACAGTGTGGTGATTCCTCAAAGATTTAGAAGCAGAAATACCATTTGATCTAGCACTCCCATTATTGGGTATATACCCAAAGGAATATAAATCATTCTTTTATAAAGATACATGCACACATATGTTCATTGCAGCACTATTCACAATAGCAAAGACATAGGATTAACCCAAATGTCCATCAATGACAGACTGGATGAAGAAAATGTGATACATACACACTATGGAATACTATGCAGCCATCAAAGAGACAAGAGCATGTGTTTTGCAGGGACATGGATGAAGCTGGAAGCCATTATCCTCAGCAAACTAATGCTGGGACAGAAAACCAAACACCACATATTCTCACTTGTAAGTGGGACCTGAACAAAGAGAACACATGGATACAGGGAGGGGAACAACACACACTGGCACCTGTCAAGGGAGGGAGGGAAGAGCATCAGGAAAAATCGCTAATGCATGCCAGGCTTAACACCTAGGTGATGCATTGACAGCTGCAGCAAACCACCATGGCACACGTTTACCTATGTAACAAGCATGCACATCCTGTACATGTACCCCGGAATAAAATAAAATAAAATAAAATAAACAAAATAAAATAAATTGATGCCTTTGAATCCACCACCTGAATCAAGAATGAGAGCTCTCCACAAAACATGTCAGCTTCAATGCCTCCACCAATGCACTCAACAACCTCAGTCTTTGGACTTCCCATATGCAGAATTAGATTCATCTAAACTCTTGTTCCAAAGCAATTTCATACCAATGAACAGTGCTTGATACCATTTAATTCATCCATTCACAAGCCAGTTTGGCCAATTATTCCTTCTTTGTAAAGAGAAAGAACAATGTGTAAACTCTCAGAAACCCAGAACATGTCTGATCATGTGCATCTATGTATATCTTCCTTATACAAAAACTTGTAAGAGCCAAAATATTTGCCTTAAGAAGAAGGCACTCTCAGAAACCAGTTACATCACAACCCTTATTTCCAGACATGTTTGCTATTGGCCCTTGCTTTATCCTTTTAGCTAACTGATGATTATTAACTTACACATTTGTTCGTTATTAAGATAAAAATCGGTATCCTTGTACACGATCTAGACTATAGCCTGGAGAATCATAGCACACGCACAGCTGCTCATTACCGTAGCAGATGACGTCACTTTGTCATGGAATTTAGCAAGAACAATAGCTTTTGTTATAAAACAAATTCTTGCCACTGGCCCTCTTTAAAATTAGTCTTTTATTTATATAAACAGCATCCCTTTTGAGGGATAAAACAAACAACCGGGAAACCAAAGACAACTCAACATAAACACAGAAAACTCATACATTTGTCTTACAGGTTCCTCATTCTGATAGATTGAAAAACCAACACAATTCCCACTTCCTGAGCAATAGATCAGTATCGTGACTTGCTTCAGTACACATGTTATAGTTGGTCCAGGTGTGGCCATGTTTTTATTCACTTATTTCTTTTACTTGAGTTCTGTATGCATTAATTCACTTGTAATAACATCATTATCCATAAATCACAAAAGCACAAGAATAGGGTAACTGATTTTTTTTTTTTTTCTTGAGACAAGGTCTCACTTTGTTGCCCAGGCTGGAGTGCAGGGGCATGATCTCGGCTACTGCAACCTCCGCCTCCCAGGTTCAAGCAATTCTCCTGCCTCAGCGTCCCAAGTAGCTGGTATTACAGGCACGTGCCACCACTCCCAGCTAATTTTTATATTTTTAGTAGAGACGGGGTTTCACCATGTTGGTCAGGCTGGTCTCAAACTCCTGACCTTGTGATCCACCTGCCCCGACATCCCAAAGTGCTGGGATTACAGGTTTGAGCCACCTCGCCCAGCCAATAACTGAATATTTTTAACTACTGTCTACAGGATCATTTCCAACTAAGCAATAGACTAGGTTTCTTTTATATTGGAGCTTAAACTTCTAGACTTCTATTATTCATCATCCTTGACTCATACTCACGAGTCATCATGTCTGGACCAGGCCACAGACTATCAATCTTTTTCTTCATTTAGACTTTGTCTGTTTCATTTATTTATTAATTTACTACTTCATAATAAAGAAATAGAAATGAATCAGAACAAACAGGATGAGAGCTGTAATAATCCTGCTGTCTATCTGTAGATCAGCTCCTACAGAAATTAGACCTGTTTCTTGAACTGACTTCATTGTTTCAAATATGCATTACTCAACATAATGCTTCATATCACCCCCATGTTCATTTTTGGGCCATGGTTAGTCTTCTTTGATTATATTTTCTACTTATTAATAATGCATTGACCACTTTTTTTTTTTTTTTTTTGAGACAGAGTCTTGCTCTACCACCAGGTGCCAGGCTGGAGTGCAGTGTGCAATCTCGGCTCACTGCAACCTCCACCTCCTGGATTCAAACAATTCTGCCTCAGCCTCCTGAGTAACTGGGACTATAGGTTTGTGCCACCATGCCCAGCTAACTTCTGTATTTTTTTTTAGTAGAGACGGGGTTTCACCGTCTTGGACAGGATAGTCTCGATCTCTTGACCTCGTGATCCGCCCGCCTCGGCCTCCCAACGTGCTGGGATTACAGGCGTGAGCCACCGCGCCCAGCCGCATTGACCACTCTTAAATGGCCCAAACAAAGACAAGCACTTTGATGATTACTCACATTTGTCCGTATGTTCCTTAAAACGACCATAGAGCAGTGGCCATGGCAGGATCAGTGCAGGGAGTGAATGTTCTGAGGATTCCAAGGAAGAGCAGAAGACACACTTTGAGACTTTCAATCATTAGTTCTTTCATTCTACCTTCCATTTGCTCTGTCAGTTGGTATTTATTGATTTATGTTAACATTTGCTTACTTTCCCCTTAATAAAATAAGTATTGGATTTACAATTGACCCAGCTGACATGAGAATTGACCTAAAAATCACATAGCCGTTGATAACTACTAATCAGTGTTATTGCTCTATCAATTGTTATAAGAGTCTTAGCCAGAGAGTTAAAATCACTGGCCCATTTATTACCCATTCCAAATTAATTAATAGTATTTCTTTCCTTGCCACATATGTTAACAATTAGAATATGCCTCTCTGTCTTCATGTTTAATCATTTAAATCTTTGTTTGATTCTTTCATTGATTCATTGATATTAATATAATCACAATTCATGAGCCGTAAAATTGGAAGCAAATAACTCTTGATATCTCTAATATCTATCTCATGGATTTTTTTCAACAGAAGAATAAATTAGATTTCTATTATATTGAATCTCAGAGTTCCAGACACTTAATATTCATCATCCATGACTCAATCGCCACCAGCTGTCATCACTGGTTCAAGCTTGGACCTCATTTTCTTAATTCATGTCTATGTGTTTTTGTTGATTAATTTACCAGTTCACTAACAATAAAATAATTACCTAAGAGTCAAAAAACTTGAGAGTAAAATCCTTAAATAGCTCTAATATCTATGTCATTATTAATAACAGCAATACACCTTTCATTAATTAAATTCAATGTTTTATATATATATATACGCATTAAACAACATAATGTTTTATATTAATTCCATTTTTACCAATGGGCCAAAGTTTACCTTCAATGATTATATATAATACTTCTTAATACTGACACAAATATCTTTTTTAAAAAAACGCTGAAACCAAGAACATTGACTCTCACTCACACTGGTCTCCATAGACCATACACAGATGCAACCACAGAGCTTACCATGAAAAAGGAATGATAAGATCAGCTGGAGTGCATTTATTCTGCAGAATACAGAGCACCAGAGATGACCAGAAAAGACTAAGACATTATCTGCGCTATTCTTTGCATTCATTCTTCCATTTCTTCAGTCATATAGGTAATTTGAGACAACAATTTATTTTACTTACTCTACATAGCCAGACAGTATCAGTTACGCCACTGACACAAACATAAACATTCATTATTATTTATCACTGGCCACAACATCAACAACTAAAGAAATAAAAAGTGATACCACTTATTCCCTAATGGTATTGGTGTTTTCAACATATCCAGTGGGTTTTCTTCTCACTCTGTTGCCCAGGTTGACGTGCAGTGGTGTGATCTTGGCTCACCGCATCCTCCATCTCCCAGGCTCAAGCAATTCTCCTGCCTCAGCCTCCCAAGTAGCTGGGATCACAGGCATGCACCACCACGCCCAGCTGACTTTGTATTTTTAGCAGAGATGGGGTTTTACCATGTTTCCCAGGCTGGTCTCAAACTCCCGACCTCAGGTGATCCACCTGCCTCAGCCTCCCACAGTGCTGGGGTTATGAGTACCAGCCACTGCGCCTGGCCGTATCATAGTTTTTCTTGCCTCACAAACTATTTTTATAATTGGACAATGCTTAGCCTCATCCAACATAATTTATTTGTATATTCGTTCAGTGGTTCCTTCATTGATCCAATTATAATAATAGATCGAAAACTTATGCTCACAAAGAACAAAAACACGACCCTCACGTATTCCTGACATCTGTCTATAGAATCACTTCCAAAAAGGGGAAAAAACTGTATTTCTCTTCTAATGGGCCTCAGAGTTCCAGATGGTCCAGAGTTCACTGTCTAAGACCCATCCATTACCAGGAGTCATGATTAATCCAGGATTAGCTCTAGTGCTCTTCATTCATTGTTACATTATTTATTACTTCATTAATTCACCATTAACAACTTTTAAACACTCACAAAATCTCAAGAGGAGCCTCGATATCTCTAATTTGTATATACACCCATCCTCCCAATTCCATATCCCCTCATTATCTTTCGTAATAACACAGGACATGCTTTTCATACAAGCATCCATCAGTAGAACACTCCACATCCATTCCATACTTATCCCTGGGCTACTTATGGCCTTATGGGATTATATGTCATATTTTTTGTTAATACACTATAAACCTTTAAACAAAATACCCAAGATGGAACGAGAACTTTGACTATTCCTCACATTGGTCTGTAGCTTCCAGCATAGAGATGGACCGTACAGCTCTCAGCCAGTGAAAACCAGCTTCTGTGCTTCCATTCTGAGTGCAGAGCAGAAGAGATGACAAGAGCAATGAGACCTTCTCTCCATTGATCCTTGCTTTTCAAATACAGCTCAAATTAATAAACGTGTAAACATTTATACTCATTTATACATTCATTAAGTTGAGGTATATTTCATTTTTTATGAACCACTGGACAGGTGTGGTGGCTCACACCTGTAATCCCAGCACTTTGGGAGGCCAAGGCAGGTGGATCACTTGAGGTCAGGAGTTAAAGACAAGCCTGGGCAACATGGTGAAACTTTGGACTCATCCCTGACCCAGAACTTGAATATGGTCAACAATTTATACTGCCTTTCTCATTCAAAGAGGTAACAGGTATTCAAGGTTTCTCTTCAGTCGTTACCAATTTCAGTATATATTAATAGTATTTTTTGTCTTTCCACATATTTTTATAATTGGACAATGCTTAACCTTATTCATCTGTTTTTTTCTTTCGAGGCAGAATCTTGCTCTATCACCCAAGCTGCAGTGACATGATCTCAGTTCACTGCAACCTCTTGGGTTCAAGCAGATTTTTGAATCCCAGGTTCAAGCAATTCACATGCCTCAGCCACCCAAGTAGCTGGGATTACAGGTGCATGCCACCACGCCTGGCTAATCTTTGCATTTTTAGTAGAGATGGGGTTTGGCCAGGCTGGTCTTGAACTCCTGACCTCAAGTGATCCAACGGCCTTGGCCTCCCAAAGTGCTGAGATTACAGGTAGTCCTTATTCATCTTTATTTGTATACTTATTGCTTGGTTATCTCATTGATCCAAGTATAAATATAAAATAAAAATTCATGAACACGAAAATCAAACACATATATACTTTCTATTTTTTGCCATCTGACTGTAGGATCATTTGAAACAGGGAATGGACTAGGTATCTTTTGAGACGGACCTCAGAGTTCCAGACACATATTCATCGCTTATGACTCATACGCCACCAGTGGTCATCATCGATCCAGGACTGGCCCTTCTTTTCTCCATTATTTTCTACATCGTCTGTTTACTAACAATAACTAGTTTACTAATAATAACTTTAAACCTTATGATTCACAAAACCCCAGAACGATATTCCTAATCATTCTGACATTAATATGTTTCATTATTGTCCTGTTTTTCATATGTGAATTGTCAATGTAATACTTCTTTTGACTCCCATATCTCTCACCAGATACAATTCACCATCTTTGATTATATTACATATGTATATATAGTACATTACATATGTATTTATATAGTACTCTTATATAAACCACCCAAAGAAATACAAGAAATCTGACCATTACTCACATTGGTACACATGCTCCTTCCTAAGCATGGTGCAAACAGAACATGTGATCATGAAGAAGTCCTCAAATCCGAACAAGTACATCCATTCTAAGGAGTACAGAGCAAAGAAGATGATAACAAAAGACGGGCATATGAAATGACATAAGTACACTCCAGATGCTATCATTATCTGGAGTGTACTTATTTCATTTTTTCTTTAAAGAATGAACAATTTCAAACTTACAATTAACCAAGAACTTGAACACTGTCTAGAATTATCCTGTCTATATCACCACAAGCCAAAGAGGGGACAGACATGCACATTTCCTTCTCTTCAGATTCCACTATGCTCAATACATATTAATAGTGTTTCTTGCCTCACCAAATATTTTTTATAACTGGACAACGATTAACCTTCCTCATCCTTATTTATACATTTATTGGTTTTTATATTAGCCAATTATAAAAACAGAATCAAAACATGTAAACACAAAGACCAAAACCGAATTCATCTTCTATTCCTGACGCCTGTCTAAAGGATTATCTCAAACACAGAAAATGAGCTAGATTTGTTCTGTGATGGACCTCAGAGTTCTAGACACGTATTCAGTGCATATGACCCATGCGCCACCAGCACTCGTCATCGACCCAGGACTGCCCATTTCTTTCTCCAATCATCTCTACCTTGTCTATTGATTGATCCATTAATTCACTACTAGTAATTTTAAGTCCGTATGGTTAAAAAAGTCCCAAGAATAACTTTAATATTCCTAATTTGTATACTGAATCATTCCAACATTGATATACCTCTTTAATGAACAATCCTCGGGTTTTTATATGTGCATCATCAACACAATGCTTCATATCATTTCCATATCTTTCACTGGGATGTAATTGGACATATTTGATAATGTCATACACTTTTTATAATACATTGAGTCCTCTTAATAAGGCACCAGAATGAAGTCAAAAACGTTGACTATTCCTCACATTAGTCTGGCTGAGCCTAACCACGATGCAAGCACAGCATGTGACCATGGAAGAATTTTTCAAGGTGCATAATTCATCCATTCCGCAGAGCACAAAGCACAGGAGAGTTTGGAGCATACAATGGGATGTTCTTGCTCATGATCCGCCTTTATTTCATGAGTCATCTAGGCCATCCTTATTTGAAGATTATTTCATTTTCTCTTAAGAAAATGAGCAATTTCAAACTTGCCACTGACCCATGCAATGATTAACCTTATTCATCTTTATTTATTCAAATATTTTCTTATTGATTCTCTCATTGGTCCAATTATAAAATAAAATAAAAATGTTAAAACAGAAAGACCAAAAACAAACTGAGTCTATATTCCTGACATCACACCTATAGAATCATGTGAAACAGAGGAAACTGATTTTGTGATGGACCTCAGAGTTCCAGACACACATTCATCATATGACTTATATGTCACCAATAGTCACATCAATCCAGGATTTGTCCTATTTTTGTCTATGCATTTTTACTTTGTCTAATAATTAACTCATTAATTCACTGATAATAACTTTAAAATCTTTGGTTTTTAAAAACTTAAGAAAAACAAAAAAAAAGAATGAACATTATAAAAAAAAAAAAGAAAGCATAGAAATGTACATTTCACCCTGGGGTGAGGGATTATGTTAAATTTGATAATATAGAGCTAGAGGCTTAAGCAAGTTTAAGAACGATTGTAAAAATTAATCTTGCAAAAAATGTGTAAACATTAAACTCAAAAGGGTATTATATGGTTTTTTTAAAAAAAAATAAATTGAGCATTAAAATAAAATAAAAAAAAATTCTGCTACTCAAAGAAAAAGTGAAATTTGTTGTTAGAGTATTATACAATGTCCATATTCACTACATACAAATACAGTTTTCATTCCATTATGTTCCACATACCCCTATGACATGCCAGCTTATCTGTTTAGAGTTCTTTTATATGTATTCAATTATATGTAAGGTTTTTAATGAAGAAAAATAAAATAAGGAATATTTAGAAATTAAAAAAAAAAACAAAAACTTAAGAGCTTTAATATTCCTAATCCCTACAAAGAATCGTTATAACAATAAATATTTTCATTAATTGTTCTCCATTTTTCATATATGCATTTTCGATATAGTATTTCATATCTATATGGATATGTGATATGGATAGATTTGGCCATCTTTCATTATATTCCTGTAATATATTGGAATATCTTATGTAAGAAATATATTCCTGTAATATATTCTATTCCCATAATGTATTGTGTCTTTTTATAGTATGAAAAGGTATACCTTTTTATAATACATTACATTATAGAAATATATATAATCTATTCCTACAGTATATTATATTCCTATTATATATTATATCTTCTTATAATGCATTGATTCCTCTTAAACAAACCACTCAAACCAAGACAACAGCTTTGACCATTACTTACATTGATCTGTATGCTCCTTCCTAAGCATGGCACAAACAGAGCATGTGACCTCAGAGGCGTCTTCAAATCCTCACAAGTATGTCCATTCTGACGAGTGCAGAGCAGAGAATGTAATAACAAAAATGTGATTTTTCATGGTTGACCTTTCCTTTTCACCAATCATTAGTTAAACATTTAGGCAATCATTATTTGAAGTATGAACAACTTTGAACTTGCCGCTAAACCAGAACATGAATATGGTATGGAATTTATACTCCTCCTTCATTACTGGCCAAAAAGGTTAGGTATGTAAGGTTCCTTTCTGGCTTTCATCAATTTAAATACATATTAATGGTACTTGCCTCACCATACATTTTTATAATTGGACAATGCTTATTTATTTTGTTTATCCATGTATGTTCTATTCTTTCATTGAACCAATTATAAAATAAAAACAAAAAATTCATTCTAGCTTCTTGACACCTGTCTATAGAATTACTGGAAACAGAGGGAAGTGACTTCTGTGATGGACCTCAGAGTTCCAGACATGTATTCACCGTAAGTGACTCATACTCCACCAGTGCTCATCATCGATCCAGGATTGACCCTCTCTTTCTCCATTCATTTCTCTGTTGTCTTTAGATTAATTTATTAATTCACTCATAATAATTTTAAACTCTGTGATTCACAAAACGCTATGAACCCACACTTGATATTCTCTATCTTTATACAGAATAATTCTAACATAGATACATCTGTTTAGTTCTTCTCAGTCTTTCATATATGCATTATCAATAAATATTTCGTATCACTCCTATAAATATCACTGGGACATAGATGGCCATCGCTGACTGTATTATCCACTTTTTCATGATGCATTGAGTCCTCTTTAGCAAACCATACAAACCAACACAGGAATTCTGACTATTGCTCACATTGGTCTGCACACTCCTTTCCAAGCATGGTGCATAAACGGGGCGCATGATCATGGAGGCACAGGCTGTTCGTCTGAGGAATACAGACCAGAGAAGATAATCACAAAACTGAGACATTTTCAATATTGACATGTGCTTTTCACCTATCAATAGTCATTCATGCAATCAGTATTCGGAATATACTTAATTATTTTCTGAAAATAAAATGAATAATTTTGAAATTACCACTGACCCAGAAGTCGGACATTACCTATACTTTATTCGGTCATTACTGTCATTAGTCAAAGAAGCCACAGGAATGTGCCTTTATTTCTCTGTGGATGTCACTGTTTCATATACGTTAATCATGTTTCATATCTTGCCCCTTAGTTTTATAATTGGACAAATTTGAATTTATTCATCTTTATTTATTTGTATTTGTTTACTAATTCTCACATAGGTCAATTATAAAAATACAATCAAAACATTTAAATATGAATACTAAAAACATATATATTCTAAATTCCTGACAGCTGTCTGTAAAATAATTTACAACATACAGAATAGGTGAGATTTTGTTTGTGATGGACCTCAGAGTTCTAGACACGTATTCATCGTATAAGACTCATACGCCACCAGCAGTCATCATCGATCCAGGACTGACCTCTGTATGTGGATTTATTTCTACCTTGTCTGTGGACCAATTTGTTAATTCACTAATCATAATTTTAAGCCCTATGATTTACAAAACCACAAGACTAGCCATGGTATTCCCAGTGTGTAGGAATATTTATTTCTTTAATTATCCTCAGTTTCTCATGTATGCATCTTCAATAGAATCCTGACATCATGCCCATGTTTATTTGAATACAGTTGCCCATCTTTGATTATAATATACTTCTTTTTATAATACATTGAACTTTCTTGAACAAACCACCCAAAGCAAGGTGAGGACTTCCACTATTACTTACATAGGTCTCCAGGCTCCATCCTAAAAATGGTGCAAGTGGAGCACATGACCTTGGAGGAATCCTTAAATCCACAAAATGCAACCATTCTAGGGAATACAGAGCAGAGAAGAAGATAACAAAAATGCGATATTGTCACTACTGACCCTTTCTCATCAACTATCATTACTTACTCACTTTGACAATCATTATTTGCAGTATATTCATTTTATCTTAAAAAAAAATGAACAATTCTGAAATTTCCATTGACCCAGAAACAGAACATTGTCTATACTTTGTACTGTCTATACCATCATTAGCCACAGAGGTCACTGGAAAATACCATTTATATCTCTGTGGACTTCGTTGTGTCAAAAGATACTGAGAGTGCTTCTGAGTGGGTATGGTGGCTCACGCCTGTAATCCCAGCACTGTGGGAGGCCAAGGTGGGTGGATCACTTGAGGTCAGGAGTTCGAGACCAGTCTGGCCAACGTGGTGAAACCCCATCTCTACCAAAAATACAAAAATTTCGGCCGGGCGCGGTGGCTCAAGCCTGTAATCCCAGCACTTTGGGAGGCCGAGGCGGGTGGATCACGAGGTCAAGAGATCGAGACCATCCTGGTCAACATGGTGAAACCCCGTCTCTACTAAAAATACAAAAAATTAGCTGGGCATGGTGGCACGTGCCTGTAATCCCAGCTACTCGGGAGGCTGAGGCAAGAGAATTGCCTGAGCCCAGGAGGCGGAGGTTGCGGTGAGCCGAGATCGTGCCATTGCACTCCAGCCTGGGTAACAAGAGCGAAACTCCGTCTCAAAAAAAAAAAAAAATTTCCCAGATGTGGTGGCATGTGCCTGTAATCCCAGCTACTTAGGAGGCTGAGGTAAGAGAAACGCTTGAACCTGGGAGGAGGAGGTTGCAGTGAGCCAACATCGTGCCACTACATTCCAGCCTGAGCAACAGAACAAGACTCCATCTCAAAAAAAAAAAAAAAGAGTGCTTCTTGCCTTATCACATATTGCTATACTTGGCCAATGCTTCAACTTTTTCAGCTATGTCTATATGGGTTTATTGAACCTTGCATTGACCAGTTATAAAAACAGAATGAAAATACATAAATACAAAAGCCAAAAAATTATGTTCTATATTTCTGAACTCTGTCTATAGGATAGGCCAGATTTCTTCTGTGACAAATCTCAGAGTTGCAGACATGTATTCATCGTATATGACTCACATGCCACCAGTGGTCATCATCGATCCAGAATTGACCATCTGTTTTTTTCATTTAATTCTGCCTTATTTATTGATTAATTCATTAATTTACTGCTAATAATTGTTAAGCTCTATGATTTACAAAACCCTAT